AAATAATCATTTATAACATCATTTAATCATCCTAATAAATTTATTTTTATTTCTTCATAATAACCAGCTTGTAAGTATTATAACTTTTACAACACAAAATAATCTTTATCAAAACATCATCTAATTAAATAAAATTACTTTTGTTTCTTTGTAACAACAATTGAAGGTAAAATAATTTATAAATTTATCTTTTATAACTTTTACTTATTACATTGAAAATAATTTCTGTTTCATTTTTAATTTTCATGATGAAAAAAAATTATTTAAATAATAAGATAGTATTAGGGGGTTTAAAGAAAGAAGAAAAAGATATGGAGTCTGTTCTGTTTGTGCAGAATTTAACACTAATTACCAATGGTGTCAATTATGTGATCCAAAATTGTTAGCTCAAAGTTGGACTAGCAGTGGTAATGAAAAATTAGATAAAATAATTAGAAACACACAGCTTGAAGCATAAGGATTTGATAGTTATTATTACCTTGAATGGATTCCTTATGATCAACTTACAATTGACAAAGAAATAGGTAAAAGTGTTACTGGTCAAATGGTCCTAGATATGTTAAAGGGAATAAAAGATATTATTGTGAAAATGGACTTGTAGCATTAAAAAGGGTTAATAATTCACAAAATATCCATAATTTTCAAAATTCCTAAATGAATCATTCCAAATTTCAATAATTTTATGAGTTTCTCCAGCAGTTGGACGTTTATCTGGATTTGCATCCATGCATTTGAATGCTAGTTCAATATAGAATTTTGGTGTATTGTTTGAAAATCCTTTCTGATGAATTTTTAGTGGAGGTAAATAATTTGATATAATTAATTGACAATTAATGATTTATAATATATTAATTTTATCAATTTTCATATAAGCTTCAAAATCACATTAAGTTTATAGGACCTTATCATAATGGCATTTCACAAGATCCAAATACAAAAGAATATGTTTTCATAATGAGATAATGCAGAGAAAGGAGATTTAAAATTTTTTTTAATATCAAATCATACAGGATGGAATTAAAATGCTTTATAATATTATCTCAGGTTTAAACATCTTTCATGAAGAAAGACTTATACATTGTGATCTTCACAATGGTAATATTTTATATTTTGAATATTTATCCCAGGCAATGATTGCGGATTTAGGGATTATCAGTCCCAGTTGATCAAGAAACATTAAGTCAAAATGATATATTTGGAGTACTGCCATATGTTGCACCAGATGTGTTAAATAAGAAACCTTACACACAAAAATCTGACATCTATAGTTTTGGATTTTAATGTCAGAAACATCAACATGTCAACAACCATTTAAAGATCAACCACATGAACTAGATCCTGCTTTCAAGATCTGTGATGGCTCAAGGCCTGGTTTTTCAGATAATACTCCAGAATGTTATATTAAGTTAGCATACAAATGCATGGATGCTGATCCCGAAAAAAGATCAACAGCAAATGAAATTTTAAAAATTATTACTTTTTGGAAAGATGCAATTGATGAGTTAGAATCTAATTATTATAAATATCATAAAAAACAGCTTCATAAATTAAAAGAAATGAAAAAAATATTCAAGGAAGCATATCAAAAACCCTTTGATCCTTCAACAACTACAGCAACTGTTCATACAAATGCTGTTTATACAAGTAGATTATTAAATTATATAAATCTTCCTCAACCTGTAAATTCCAATAAAGTTACAATTATTAGTAGTGATAATGGTAATTATCATCAATCATTTGATTATTAATTTTAAAATTCAATATTAACATTAACATTATTTTATCATATTTATAGAATTTAATCAAATTGATTTAGATTGTATTAATAATTGTAATTATTTATTATCAATTATTTGATTATTAATTTTGAAATTCAATATCAATATTAATATTGTTTTTTATTTATTAATTATATTTATAGATTTTAATCAAATGAGTTTAAATAGTAATAATAATGGTAATTACAGTATCCGATTATTAATTTTAAAATTCATATCAATATCAACATTAACATTATTTTATTATAAATTATCATATTTATAGATTCTAATCAAATTGATTTAGATATTTAGATTTATGAATAAATTTTATTCATCTGGTTATTAGAATCATAATAGGAACTGTATATGGTGAATAAATACTTCTTATTATAATAATTTTTTTTAAAACATTACATGCCTTATTACATTTTAAATTAAAATAAACCCTCCTTGTAGTTAGTATTTTTATATCCAACATATATGTTGCTTTAGATTTTTCTTTTATTTTTGTATTTTTATCATCTATAAATGCTATAAATAAAAATAATAAAAACGTTTATATATATAACAAAAGAATTTCACTTCAGATAAATTATTTATTTAATTCATTAATATATTTATAAGGTTGTTGGTAATAATGGCTTGTGCAGCAACAACTTTATCAGGCCATTTATCTACAAAAAGTTATACAAATGATGGTGGTAAGCATTGTTCAAAATTGACTGCACCATATACACAAAAAATTATTTTGATTATAAATTATAACTAAAATTGACAATCTTTGAGAGCCAAATTAGGGATTTTAGAAAAGGCAAACTATAAATTGAACCTAAGTTTTGTTTCTATCAGTTTAATTTTTTCATCATCATAAAATTTTATGAAGTTATTGAGATTCAAAGTTGGACATTACTATGACCGGTAAAATCACGTGATAAATTTTCCAGAAGTATATTATATTACAATATTAGAAATTAACGATAGTACTAATTTAACCAAAGACCCAGTGAGAGAGATATTAAAAAACCATCATTAATTTCTAATATTGTAATAATACACGCGATTGATTTTAAAATTCCTTAGAATCGTTGTATTTTAAAATTAATTGATAGTTAATTTTATATATACATTACCACCTTGAACATTTTTAACCTCCCATTTAGCATAGTATTTTCAAATGGAACCTTCTTTTGTCAATTTCTCTAATTGTCGCACCTAAAGTATGAAAATTTCTCTCTTTATGTATTATACATCGGAGGTCCTTTTTAAACAAATAAAAAATACAAGGAGAGTATGGCTTAATAACTTAAGTGCACATGCATTTAATCAATTACAAATAGAATACAGTGTGTTTCAAAAAAAATGGTGCCAAAATGTAAATTTATTTTAAAAATTTTCACATGACAAAAAACGATTGAGTATCTTGTTTGAATGATAATAAATACTTGTATATGTGTTTATTACATGGCATTTGCAACAGGATAATGATCCAAATCACACATAACGTGTTACAAAACCTTCATTTTTGAAAAAAGAATTTGCATAATAGACTGGCCATCCAACAGTCCTGACCTTAATTCCATTGAAAATATGTGGTATATCATAAAAAATAATGTTGAAAAAAGGATTCCAAGGAATGTTGGTGAATTGAGAGATTTTATGGTTGAACAATTCCTCAGGAAACAGTCAAAAATATTATTATGTCTATGAAACAGAAATGTGAGTTGGTTTTAGAAAAAAAAACAGTGGTATAATTTCTCATTGATTTTTTTTATTTAATAAAATATTTGATAAACTTTCAAATGAATCTAATTTTGTTTATCTACTTTGCATAATATGTGATTTTTGTGCGCGCCATTTTTTTTTTGAAACACTGTAACTCATGTTATCGGGCAAACAGCACTATTAAGCTATTTTTGGTTGCTTTGTTATTTTAGGCACAAAATGACGTCAATATGATCGATATACTATTTATACAACATTTCTATAAGATATAACTAAATCATATAATTAAACTTTAATAAACAGTGACGTTTGAAAGAATAGCTTAATAGTGATTGCCCGATAACATCGATATTAGGCGTGCGATGGACAATTTCAGTGACATCCAGGATGTCATGATATTGGCCGCTGCGCGCCCAATATCTTATACTTAACAATCTAATTATATAGATTTTGATCGCTTGTTTAAATTGCCTAATCAAAAATCAGGAACTTCTAGCGATGATATACTTACAGACAGGCTATTATATTTTTATGTTTTTGAGTTTCATGTCTTTTTAAACCATTAATGTTTTAATATACTCATAATCACATTAGCACAGATTCCATTTATAAATTTGATTCTAATTTAAAAATAAAAAACAAAAACTATTAGATTAAGAAGCTAGAAATCATTAAAGTATATTTATTTAATACACTTGACTTGAATTTGGTTCATTTTTATAACTATATATATATGTGTGTGTGTTTATGTTTATAGATCAGTTATTTGACTATTTCTATAGTATTTTTGTCCTACCGTATATAGTGGGACGATTTGGTAGACAATGTAAAGAGTATATAGCAAAAATAAAAAAAAATTTTTTTAAAGAAAAATAAATTTTCATGAAATATAAAGTATTGTTAAGGATATCATCTGTAAAAATAAATTATTTACTAAAAAAATGATATATTTACTATATAATGAATTAATCTACTTTGTATCGTACTATGTTAAAATAAATGGCTTGCTGGCAGCTATGCGCTATTCTCAAAGTTTCAAACTATAATACAAGTTTAGGAGTATTATATTAACGTGTAACGTATCACATCAGATTCCGCGTATTGAAATTTTACATTATTATTATTTATTAATAATAGTAAATTTTTTTTCGAAATCAAAAAAATATGAATAACAATAACACCAACACGTCAGCAAAACGTAAGCTTTATAACTCTTTAAATGATCAAATAAACAAACTACAAAAAAATATGATAAATATTGAAAAAAATATGGAAACCACCTTGGATCAAATATCTCATATTCAAAATTTAGGCTTGGTTCACGCGTCATTGTTAGTACATACATTAATAATGAAATTTTGTAATTTATTAAAACTTTGTTGAATAATAATTATATATTTTTTTGATTAGATTTATTTCAGCTAATAATATTCTAAAAGATGTAAATGATAAAAATGAAAAGAAATAAATAAAAAATGGCAAATGTTTTTTAATTGAAGATCCAATTTTAGTTTGTTTTTATATATTTAGAACTTCGTTGTCAATTACATCAGCCAAATCTATCGCCTCATCTACCCCGTCAGTATCATTTTTAATTTCTTGTAAATTTTCTTTATTATCATTTTCAACTAAATCTATCGATTTACCTACCTCTCCAACATCATCTTTGATTTCTTGTAAACTTTCTTTATTATCATTTTCCTGTTTTTGTTGTTGATCCGATGATAATGTATGGCTTATATCCGAAGATGATATATCAATATTTGTCTGGTTGTTAATATTGTTTATTACGGTTAAATCTTTTGTGTAATACTGGTCATATGAATCATGGAATTGATTGCAATCAAAATCCCATCTACTGCCCCATTTTTTAACCTTTAAACAGTCATTTTTTGTCCATGGTTCAGCATATGCCAATGGTGATAATTGTGAAAATGCATATATGCTTATTATTATGAATACTGATGCTACTATAATTCGATTTTTTGGTTTCAATCGAATTGTTAAAAAATCAAACCCAACACCAACCAGTAAAACCGCAAAATATAATGCAGGAAAATAGTGATGTAAGAATAATTGACGAGCCATTAAAAAAAATGGAAAATAATGAAGAAACCATCCAAGGAAAAAGAAACTTGCATAAGATTCATAAAATTCTTTCAACGCTAAAATAAAATATTTTTTTTTAGTTGTCAGAAACAAAAATAAAAATGATGATGATGATAAATTAACTTACGGTTTAAATGATCTGAATAACCTCTTTTTGCTCTTAAAATAATTACAGTTTCTACTACAATATAAAAATATAATGCCAATGAAGAACTCCACCATACTATTGGGTTCCCAATTAAATAAATATGTCTGTGATCCTTTCCCCAGAAACTGATTCCACGATCTAATAAAACCCAAGAACTTGGACGAGACTCATATGGATGTGAACCGGTTAATCCAGAATTTGTAGTCCACATTACTTTATTAATTTCAAAAAATTTTCCAAAAAACCCAATTTTTTTATAATTTACTTTTTCTGCATCTTCTGGCACTATTTGAAAAAGAAAAAAAAAAATATATATACACAAATAAGAAAAACAATTTTTCAGTGGGAATTAATCAAATAAATTAAAATTCTTACATTTTGGGTGTGAATTTGACTCTATATACCAGATTGTATTAGGTTTGGATCCACCATTAACACACGTAACTTCTTGTTGATTAAATCCCCAATCGGGCAATTTCACGGAATGTGAAAACAAATAACAACCAGTCACAACATGTCTAAGACGAAACTTTGTATGAAGAGCACGGAGTCTTTTTCCAGATTCTGAATCTGATTTATCATAATCAGCGATTTCTACACGCCAATCATCATTACCATCGCCTGAAAATCCTTCATAACCATATGTACTATAATATATATAATTTAGTAAAAAAATTATTTTTGAAAATAATAATGAATAATAGATAATAAATAATTTATTACTATAAAAAATGACCGACCTAACTTCATTTTGATATTTTGCATCTGTTAAAGGAGGTCTTATATCATGGCTATGTAATCGTCGGTGTGTTTTCAAATGATATAATCTTATTATACTGCCATCTTTAACCCAAATAGGATCGGTTTCATTGAGTGGAATCTCTAGTTCAGTAATATTCTGTATAAGCCAATCATTATTACCATCACGATGAGGATATAAAGTAACTTGTTGTTCTAATTTTAGAAAGATAATTTAGAAAGATTATTATTATTATAAATTAAATAGTTGAAGAATGGTGCTAACAGTCTATAGCCACTATATACGATTCAGAACTTAACATTTTAATAACCATAGTTCAATTGATTATTATAAGGCCTTTTTACATTCACTGATCTTTTTTTTTAATGTGTTCATATATTCCAAACCTCATTGAAAGTTTATCAATTCTTAATCTTTGAGATCATATCATTTTATTTTCACTAATCTCTGTACAAATTACCCGTAAGTTGGTAATTCTCAATGGATTATTATTATTATTATATCGGTATAGTTATCCTATGGCAATTGAAATTGACCAATTACAGTTTTTTTCTAAAAAAAATCACTAGTCTTTCAAAAGAACCAATTTGCAAAATTGGCGGTTATAGGCTGTTAGCACCATACAAAATCATGCACATTACATACGTTTACTTCCTTCAGGATAATTATGTCTATGAGAATGCAAGTATCCTCCTGCTGTATTAACATGTTTGATTGTAATCATAGAGTCATATGCAACATCTATAAAAAATTCATTATTATTATTATATAAAAAGAACTTTAGAACCATTTAATGCATGAAAATGCCTGTAAAAAGAAATCAATATAAAAACATACCAATTGGTGTATCTTTTGTTCTATAATTCCCGTTCAATGTTTGTCTAAATTCAGTACTCATGAACCCATCACCATCACCACTATTTGATAATATTAGAAAATGTATTGAAAAAAAGAACATGTATAATGCGATAGGTACTATAATCAAGCCTAAAGCTCTAGCCATAAAATGTTTGGTCCATTGAGTCTATAATGAATACAGGGATAAAAATCACCACTTTAATGAAAAAAAGGCTATTGGATTCGATAATAGATGGATATTTAGAATAATTTAACATACTGGTGACACTCTCAAATTTCCTAGTAAATCCCAAAGTCCTTTTATTGTTGAAAAACCAATAGTTGCGATGGTGAAAAGACCAACCCATTTTACACTAATATTATAATTAAAGTTTAATATATCAAGATTTTTTGATCCATAGATAAAAAAAAGGAATCCATCAACATTATATTACCTAGAAGTAAGGCCCAAACCAACGCCTGTCATAATAAGCCAAACCCACCACCAAAATTGAAAAGGTCTATTTTTAATTTCATTATCATTTTAGAAATCTTTGATTATTGCTTGATATATAAACTAAAATGAAAATTAATACGTGTTAAATCGTTTTTACCTCTTATGCTCATTATGAAACTTTATCCACATTAAGACTGTAAAGGCAGTGAATGTAACTAATGGAGAGTCCAATAAAATAAGTCGGCATTGAGTTACTAAGCCATTTTCTTTTTTGTAATTTATAATTACCGTGAAAAATTAATAAATCGGTATAGAAGACTGAACAAATAAAATATTAATAATAAGAGATTACCAAATTTTAATACCAAATATTAATAATGATGCAACTAAAAAAGCCGATGTTGTTGAAAATCCCGAGTATTTCATGGTCAAATAAGAAATAGGAATGAGAAAAATTCCTAATATTGCTGGCATCAATCTCATTGCAACATATGGAACTTCAGACTCAAGGTAATCTCTAAAAAGGAAGATTGGATTTTATTTAAAATATATTATATATGAAGTTAATAAATTCTAATTGAAACTTACTTTCCAATCTCCTTAAAATCAAAACTGCCATCAAACCCTCCCAACAAACCAGCAAATGTTATTAACAATTTTGCCAACGGAGGATGTACATCCATAAAAAATCTTCCTCTTGCATATTTGCTTTTTAATAAATCAAAAATTAGTTGAATAAATAAATATATATTGGATACGTTATTTAAAATAATCATGCTGACAAAAATAAACCATAGAATTCATTAACATACGATGCAAAGCCACCAAAATGTACTTCATCAAAACTTTTTATAAAGGGAAAGAAGAGTATTTTGAATATTTTTTTAAGAGTAATTTTAATTTATATAGAACAAAAATTATCTTAATAGAATAATACATACACTACTGAGGTAGGTTGACTAATTTTATATAATCTCACTATCATTGCAACGATTACTAGAACGATCAGATTTACTGAATCCAAGGAAAACGCCTTTAAACCATTAGCTTGATTTCTTCTTGATTTGGTAGGTTCGTCAATAAAGTTGTAAATAAAAAGAGGATCGGGCTCGTCTAAAGCCTGTTTGGTTTTACGTTGTCTAATATCATTCATGGTTTTGACTTTTGAAAGAATGTGAAATTTTTTTTATTGAGATTGAGTTTATTGAGAGAAAAATATTTAATGTGATATGATGTTACGGTCCGATATTTTCGGTCTAGACTGTAAATTAAATCACGTGACTCAAATACAAATTATTAATATTAATATTCTATATATGGTGCAAGCACCTAGTCCCACAACTTTCTGCACCACACTGCAATAAATGAATTTAGCCGTTTATTAATTAATATTTAATATTAATATTAATTAATATATTATAAAAACGAAAAATTGGCGTGTAATAGTAACTTTTATTATTGAATATATTATAAAAACGAAAAGTTGGCATGTAACTTTTACTTATTATTTTTCCTATATATTTAAATTCTTGTCTATCTGAAGAATCATTACCTCGTAACTCTGAGAATATAATGACCTGCATTTGTTTGTTTATATAATAATAAAATAATAATAATAACAAATAAATAACTAGTTTAATTGAAAAATATATTTTTGGTGACCTGCCGTATTTTATTAATATTAATATTAATATATAAAGAAAAAAAATCATGTTTTTTTATTGTAAGTTTCTTCATCAAGTTTTTTTATCATCATAAGTTTTATTTATCATAAATTTTAATTATCATAGGTTTATTTATCATAAATTTTTTAAAACTTTTAGGTAAGTGATATATGATACAAGCCATTATTATTATACAGAAATTTAATTAAATATTAGAGTAAAATATTTAAATCATTATTATTATAGTAATAGAGAAAAGGTCATTGTATGAACTTTATTATTTAAATTGAATTTATAAAAATCACCAGACTTTTTCAATAAGCAAATAACGTTTTTACCATTACAATTGAAAATTTAAATTAACTAAACATTGTATGCTGCAATGCTTGATCAGATAACATCCTATTATCTCTATCTACCTGACACAATTTAAGAATAAAATCCACAACAGTTTCAATTTCATTAATATCACTTCTAATTGTTTTAAATGTAGAAAAATCTAGATCACCTTTCATTATATTGTCATAAAGCTCAGTATAATCATTTGATCTTCCTTCCACTCCTTCAACATGATTATTAACATTCCAAGGATATTGTTTTGACAACATATAATAATTTATCATTGGTCCAAATTATTTATAGAAACAATTAATTGTAAAACTTTTTTTTTAATCTCAAAGAAAATGACAACATACGAGAAAATTGAAAGTGATTCAAATGATGCAAGGGCAGAGTACAAGAAAGCATATAAGGAGTTGAATGATTGGAGGGAGAAATGGAGTGGGAGACTAGACGATTTAAAAAGGAAGAAAGTGAAGGAAGATTATGAAGGAGAGATGGATGAGTTGAAAGAAAAAGAGAAGTCGTTGGAAGCAGAGAAGAAGAAGTGGGGAGATCATGTGGTATTGCTACAACAAGAATTAACAAAATTTAATAAAGAAGAAGGTAATGAACAAATTGCATTAAAAAAAAAAAATTTTTGTTTTTTCATTCTTTTTGTTCCATTTATTTATTTATTTGTTTGGATATACTGTTCATGATGTCTTTCTAAAATTTCTAAATTATTTCTAGTGGAATTGTTGGAAGAGAAATTGAAGAGAACATGTACTGAAGTGAATTTGTTGGAAGTGGAATTGGGTTTAGAAAAGTCTAAATGTATTAAAGTAATAGAAGTATTTGCAAAAACTTCTTTGATTGATAGTCTTACATCTTTGTGGCACACTTATGATCCACAACATTTACCAATGTCTGATTGGTTTCAACCATCACAAAGTTCCTTTAATCTCAATAGAAGACCAAATAGCAAAGATGAAAAAGACTATCAGACTTTTTTTTGTAATGAAATCCTATCACAATTACCAGAAAACCATTACATTAAAGTTCTTGACACTCATAATTGTTTTTACTTGGATGGGCTGGCACCAAATATCTCAGCTTTGCACAGTGACTATGAATTAGATATTCATGTAATCAATTCAGTTGGTGATATTAAACCAAGGAAAACACCAACATTTGCATTCCAAGATGTGCATAAAGGACAAGTCTTAAACTATGGTATCAAAATATTACAGCATCAAAGGGAACGATATGAAGTGACAAATTTTCTGACAGACTTTTATGAGATTGTATTTATTCGTGTTGTCAAAGAAGAGCAGAAAAATGGATTGCAATTCACAGTCCATTTTTCTAGTCTTTTCCAATTTGATGGTGAAGGAAGTAAATATATACAAGCTTTATTATTTGAGATGTCATACCATCCTGAAATTGGTGAGTTGTATTGCTTTTGTCTCAGTATTTTATAT